TACCTGTTTCAAAGATTGTTTTTATGCATGACAACGGCAACGATGAAAATGAATGTTTGGTAGTAAATAAACGAATAACCAATCATGTTTATGCAGCTGTGATATTTTCTATTCGTATTAAATCAGAGGGAAACACAACTGGAATTGTGGTCACGTAGGGAAAATATTGACTCAGATCAATAAATTCTATCGAGAAGAGGATTCTATAGAATTGTGACAACATGTTCTGCTCCTCGACATGGAAACATAGTGCAATTGCTATGATGAATAAGTAAACAGATTAACAAAAAACAAAATCAATCTGTTGAAAGACCATATACAGGGTATGTCAGGACGAGCTTACACTATCTCTATATCGAGAATCAGTCGGAAGAAATCCATGAAAATATGCAAGCTTATATTTCAGAATGCGTTCTCTTCATTTGAAATATTTTCAACAATACAGTGTTGTTGCTAAAGTAGCAACAACTTTGCTTTTTCGAATAGTAGTATTTTATTGCATTTTCGAATTCTCATATACAGTGTGTCCACCTTAAGGACTTACCACCCCTGTAAAATTGTTATTATTGGACCGATTTCAACATACTTTTTTTTGTTGGATAGGTATTTGAAATGTCCATCCAACAGGAGAGTGACTTTTCTCATGAACTGTAATCGTGGCCAACTGCGACCAACTTTATTGACCCATATTTGAGAAAGTACTATTAGGGATTTTTTTTCACAAAAAACAATGATGGATTCTGAATGACGATCACTTGAAAAACACCTTTACTGATTTTTATCATCATAAAACACAGGGTGTCCGAAGAAACGAATTATGTTTTTTTTAATAGGTGATCAGAAAATGTAGTATTGTGGTATTTTTGAGAAGAATTAATGACACATTATTATTGATGATCACTTTGAACATATCTGTACCGATTTTCATCATTCAAAAATACGATGTGTATGAGAAAACAATTAAAAAGAAAAAGTAGGCAATATTTTTTCATCAACACCCTGTGTTTAATGATGATGAAAATCGGTACAGGTATGTTCCAAGTGATCCTGATTCATCTTTTATTTCGAGTGAAGAATTATCAGCATGAAAAATATTGCTAACCTATCCTTTTTAATTTTTTTCTCATACACATTGTATATTCAAATGACGAAAATTGGTACAGGTATATTTGAAACAATCCTCAATGATAATTTGTGATTATTTCTTTCTAGAAAAACCACAGAACTATATTTGCTGATCACCTATTTGAAGATAATGATGATTCGTTTTTTCGGACACCCTGTGTTTTATGATGATGAAAATCGGTACAGGTATATTCCAAGTGGTACTGATTCAGAATCCATCATCAAGTTTCGTGGAAAAAAATCCCTAATAGTACTTTCTGGAATATGGGTCATTGAAATTTATCGCAGTTGGCCACGATAACAGTCCAAAAATTAGATCACTCTCTCGTTGGATGGGCATTTCAAATACATATCCAACAAAAAAGGTTTTTTGAAATTGGTCGGATAATAACGATTCTACAGGGGTGGTAAGTCCTTAAGGTGGACACACTGTATATGCAGGAGAACTCAATACGTGTCATACAAGAATAATACGTCAGCGTGTAAGCCGATAACCTCAGGAGTGCCCCAAGGATCAGTTCTTGGGCCACTTCTGTTCATAATATTTATAAATGATATATTCTATCACATCAAACCAAGTCAGTGTATATTGTTCGCTGATGATATAACTTTTTACAATTCCGCCCTGAATTCAACAGAACTTCATCAGAATGATGTTGAAGCTTCTAACAGAATCAGTGTGTGGCTCATTCCCAACAACCTGATTCAAAATGACTCCAAAACACAGTCAATTACTTTTTCCTCCAACACTGTCGTTGCCACAAATGTACCAGTAAAACTGTTAGGTATCACCCTAGACAGCAAACTTAGGTGGGCTGAACACATTGACATACTGTGTAAAAAGTTGTCAAGTCAAACCTTCATCCTCAGGCGGTTGAGGAATACTGTTGATGAGAAAGTTCTGAAAATGTTATACTTCTCACTGTTCCACTCACATCTGAGTTATGGCGTGATTTTATGGGGTAACTCTACCCACGCAAACCGTGCCTTCATTCAACAAAAGAAAGCAGTTAGGGTAATTGCCACGGCAGCTTACAAAGATTCATGCAAACCCTTATTCAGGGCTTTGGAAATATTGACACTTCCTGCACTGTATGTGTATTATTGTTTGGTTCAAATACATGATCATGTTCACAGCTATAGCAGACATAAAGATCTACACAGCTACTCCACCAGAAATAACTCCCAGCTCATCAATCCTTGATTTCGTCTCAATATTTCATCAAAGAACTCAATCAATTTGAATTTATATAACAAAGTACCAGAATATTTCAAAGAGCTCAGCTCCTCAAAATTTAAATTAGCTATCAAACAGCTTCTACTGAAACACAGTTTTTACTCGGTGGATGAATTTCTGTCCTGTGATTTAACAAGAATAACACCATGACATATATATGAAAATACACCCATCTTACGTACCTATAACTTTTAAAAATATTTTAAACCATAAATTAGTGTTGTGTAACTATATGTATACTTGTTGCTTTCATTTGTTATGTTCACATATCCTCTATTTTTAATATTTTTTATAACAAGATATTTATATCTACGGACATGTTCCAAACTATTTGACGTGTGTAATGAATGAAATTTTCAAAGACACCAATAAATTCTATTTTATTTTATTCTATTCTCCCTGAAGAGCTGATTCCATCGATACATCACCCTTGGGGTCTATCGGCATTGATTACAGAGATATAGGGTGTTCGAAATCGAGATTTTCAAACTTCAGGATTTGTTTGTGTCGCAACTATTCATTATCGGCCAAAACGGCTCACATGTCTTATCTCTACTTTCGATTTACTATTTACTGATATTTAATCGGAACAAATACAGTGTGATCAGAATTCTGCATCTAGAACTACCGACCGATAATGAATAGTTTCGACACAAAAAAATCTGAAAGTTGAAAAATCTCGATTTTTAACACCCTATATCTCTGTAATCATTTTCGATAGACCCCAAGTGTGATACATCGATGAAATCAGCTCTTCAGGGTGAATCTGAAACTGTGATAAAATACAGGGTGTTCCATTTGAAATATCAGTGTTGCTACTACTTTCTAGTAGAAGCGGCAACCACTGCATTGTCAAAAATATTTTAACTGAAGAGTGCGTATCCTGAAATGTATGTACTGAACTTGCTGAAGTTGATTTTTTTCCCATAGTTGTCTCTGTTCATGGCATGATGTAAACAGATAGAGAGTCATAGAAAAAAATCAAGTTCAGCAGGTAGAGCAAGCACAAACGAACAGGCCTAGACTCTCCTAGTTCTTTGAATTTTCCGGGCGGATATTCCATGTTTTTATCCGTTCTACAATATTTCAAGGCATGTTTACGGATAGACTATACGAATTTTTAGCAGACTTAAGGGCATGGAACAAGTCTATCTTCGTAAAGCAATATGTATCTCAATTTCTGTAGAAATATGATAATATGAATTCCTATATCCATCCATCCACACAAAATAAAAATATCATCAAAGATCCATTGATCCATAATCAACATGGCATTGTATCTGTTATTCGCACAACCTCAATTCTATATGGATTATGCAGATGAACATATTGTGTAATATATTCCACATCCAGTGATCACAATATTGGAGACATGATTCATATGTACAGGGTATTCCAACGAAAACTTGATTTTTGTTTTTGGAGAAAGCATTCTTGACAGTCAAACCATCAGGATAATTATGTTCAGCTCCCTTACCTCTTATCACCTCCGACTTTAGCGTGCCTTGAACGAGAAATTATAGCTGCTTATACCGGGTGCACCGAAAAAATCCAGAGAAGCGGGGGCAATCTTTTTGAATGGAATGTACATTTTTTCAGGCATTTCAGCGACCCTCAACTCTCCCTCCAATATAATGAAATATGTATGTGTCTCGATCACTTGGAAGTGTTGTTGTCTTTTCGGAAACTTTATTCAATTTGTAGGATGCTTACTATAGAAATCTCTGACGTCATCATCATACACACTCAGGACCGGATTAAAACCATTTGGCGCCCGAGGCACAATTCTTTGCCCCCTATACACATTACAAATATACAAAAATGGAAAATATTTTTCTTCTAGAATTGTCTTCTCGTTTCGAAATTGATACTTCTGAGTGACAGATGTTGATGCAGAAAAATGCGAGTTACGCACGATGAAAAAAAAATGTCTTAAGTTCAACATTTTCATCAAATTCGAGTAGAAAATTATTTTCCATCTTTCATGTTGAGAACGGGAACAGAGTCGTTTCCGAAACGTCAAAACCTACGTAAAAATTTTATATGTTTTCGATATACTTATTCATACATATTTATCTTCTTTGAAATTTTTTTCAAACAACATGTCACTGAAAATCGATTACATTTTTCTTTTAGGCTGTCTCATATGATTTTTTTCAACGCAATTCATATTTCATATTCACATCCATTTCTTTCCAGTGGCGTAGAACTTTCAGATGCTTATATTTACTAAGAAAATCAAGTTCTACGCCCATGGAATGATGATGGCAATCATGATACTTATGGGTTGGTTCTATTGCCCAATGAAGCTAAAGCTATGCCAACATACCAAAGTTGACAGAAATCTCATAAGCTGTTTTGAAGTTGAATGAAGCAAAACCTGTTTGAAAATTATAACTTCAGAACCGAGTTCAGAACCGTCTAGCCCAAACTGACCAACTTTGTACTGAGGTAGATTTGCTTGCATCGAATTATTTGGTCTGGAGAAAAATGTGATGTTTCCGTAAAGACCTTTTAGGAACACTCTGTATCGAGCCCTGTATGAAATATTTCTGATCTATTATCATACTTGTTGTAATCAAATGGAACGACGGAATGTTTTTTCTATACATAGTTTCAACTGATATCTTTGTTTCAGATAGGGACTGATAAACTGATGTTCATCGCGAGAGGTTTCGTGAAAGTGGATAAATGCCCTCATATCTGTTTTGCCAATACAGTAGATTGGGAAGGACTGGGGGCAGGCGGACTACATTTCACAAATCTCAACAATGGCACATGCGATGCTTGTCCTAATCATTGCAAGGGTGAGTTGAAACAGAAAACGAGAAATTTTCCAAATTAAAAAATAACGCTCGCTGCCTTAAATTTTCTTGCAAAAACATCGCGCTGAAAAAATCATATTTATACGTTTCGATTTTATGCTACGTTCAAACGTAGTATAAACTGAAATTTTATCGGTACGCTGGATTCGTCTTTAGAGCAACTTTGCAAAGTGTGGTTGAAAGCCATATAGGATTGCATTTGATTAGAATATTATGTAACCAGGTGTTATAAACTTTCTTTCAGTAACGAGTAATAAATGAGTGTCTAGCTAAGTTTACTCGAGAGTTTATAGCTATGTTCTCTGCTAGCTAGTTTTCTCTCAAACAGGTCTCTCCATGTAGTGGTCGACGGAGTTTCATCTGACTCTCTTATCATAAATGCTGGTGTTCCGCAAGGATCAATTCTAGCCCCAACACTATTTCTACTCCATATCAACGATTTGTTGGAAGCAACTTCATGTCCAGTACACAGCATCGCCTGTGCCTGGGCTGTGAAACTGTTGGATTCTGTCCAAAAAAGGGCAATTCGTCTCGTGGGTGATGCCTCGCTCACAGACTCACTTACTTCTCTGGAACACCGTAGAAAAGTTGGCGATCTGGCTCTATTTTATAGATATTTTCATGGACGATGCTCTTCTGAAATATCAACAATTTTTCCTCCCTTGACAGTCCCCGCGTGATTAACCCGTCGAGTTGAGGCTTCGCACCCCTTCGTGGTCACTTTGGAGACCTGCAGAACATCTCTCGTTCATCCAACGAACAGCGAGGCTCTGGAACACATTGCCAAGGGAGGTGTTCCCCGAGACATATAACCTCCAGAAATTTAAGAAGAACACCAATTTCTACCTTATTTCCCTTGGTTCTCGCGATGTTCTCTGAACATTGCAGGATATCCCTTTTCGTGGGAACCAGAACATAAAAAAAAACGTTTTATGTACTATACTTTTCTTCCTTTCATGCAACCAAAGAGGCACGTATGAGTGATATTGGTTGTAGATGTGTCCAGTCCATGGGATACATGAATTTTACTAACCTTTGTGAATTAGAAATTTCCATCTGACGTAGAAGGTGATAACTCTTCGATTCTTTGAGGCATTAAAGTTTTCGATTTCTTCGGTTTGTATCCATATATATCTTACGTTCATATATTCTCATGGTTAGCATAGTAAATTGCCCACGAAGATGAGAGCTTAATTTTTGCACAGAGTTAGTACCTAAAACATTATCTTCGATTTCACTTCCGTCTACATTTCGCATACATTTTCAATGAACAATTCTGATACAAACAGAAAATGTTTGAATAATTCTGATTGTCACCGATTGCAAATTGTAACAAAATTCGAAAATGACAGTTGACAGTTCCTACAGGCCGGACATGACTCAAACGACTGAAGGTGTGTTTAAGGCTATATTCCGAATTCAACTGGCAGTACTGAATCTGCTGATTTTCCATTCCGAAATCAAAAAATTCACTGGAAGTGACAGATGCTTGTCAGCAGATATACTATTCATTCCAAATATTTCGACTCAACATTCTGCTGAAATTGCTGAGTATCAAAAGGTAGTGTGGCTTCAGTGAACTGTCATATTTCAGAGGAGGAAGGAATGTAACATTCATTTCCGTTATTAATGAAATGATTCTCAATATCAGAAAATACCTGGAGTATGAAGTAGTAGAGCAGGTAAGGAAAGGAGCAGCATTGGCTAAATAAACTAAATAAACCTGGAATGTCTCCTAAAATTCATCATTATTAAGGCATATTGCGATTTTCATGAATCTCAATTCTCAATCTGGTGCATCATGAGAAATTTATGGCAACAAAATGTCCAAGTATTCTTCATCACTCGAGCTTGAATCGCCATCGTCAACAATCGTAGAAACTATAGAGGATACAAGAATCGATTTCTCTTCCATGTTGAATATTAAATTTCCAAAATTTATAACAAGTAGGAGGCTAAACATCTAGTTCAGATAAACGAGACACTACTACTGATGAAAACCATGAAAACGTGTCCCGAATTACAGTAGTGAATTTTTGATTTTATATTTCGGAACACAGATTTTCAGCAGAGTCAGTGGATCAACTCACAGTACTGACCAGTTGAATTCGGAATATAGCCTCTGAAAAACTACGTTGCCATGGTAATGTATTTGAGAAATTGTGTTGCCGTGGTAACGTGTTTAATTTTTCGAATAAATCACAGATCGTCAATCAGTGAATAATCGATCATTCAGCGTGGTACATATCCGTGTGCTATAAATGCCATTTTGGTTAGGTGAGTAGAAAAAAAAACATGTTGACGGTGGTTTCAGCTACCCCTGAAAGGCAATATTTATCTTATTGCTTGCAAAATCTGAGAAAATAAATTGAAACGTACTATGTATATAGAGCATTTAAAAATATATATATAATAATAATAATAATAATAATTTGTCATTATTTGTCCTCACAAAAAAAAAACAATGATAGGGCAAATGGGCGAAGTCTAGTCATGACCAGACGAATCCAGTCAATTCCTACTCAACTTAACCCCATATGTTCCTCCCCGCTCTGGATTTTATTCCACTTAAACCTCATGTTGGAGTTTCCATTATGTTTATCCTGGTATAACGGAAGCAAGCTCTGTATCATAAAAATATATCATAATTTTGTAACATTACATATTTTCTGTTTAGCGCCAGTGGAAACATGAATTGAAATTGTGAGAGGTCATCAGAAAATTGTCTTGTGACTGACGCCGATTTCAAGAAGTATAATTGAAATGATTCAATTGAACTAATCTATATATTATATATACTTCATACCCCGAAATCAGAAACTAATTTTTCAAATATCGATGATTTCCTTCTGAAATTCATGATTATAAAACGATTCTGTGGAACCTGTGATTTGCTCGAATTTAAACCCATTATTTAATTTTTAATTATGTTGCCGAAAGCATATTCGAACGCAATATGTAGATGAACCACGGAAATAAAAAACTTATGAATATATTACTCGAAATAATTTGAATAACATTCGATCGCGGGAAAATTCATTTGACAAAAAAAAAATCGATTAAAATGCGATATAACATCGGCACAGATCACCTAACTTCTATCAGATGCGAAATCTTTGATGCTGTACCGAACATCACATGCGATTTTTTTATGTCATAATACACAGAATAATATTATGTGCATATATATTTTTATCTGAAGGAGAATACAAATTCTCAATTTCAGAATATTTTGTTCTCAAATTCTTATCGTGTATGTTCATTAGATATAATTCAATGTTCATCGTGGCATATAACCAGGAAAGTGGTTGTTTTCTGTTGAATAAACCGAGAAAGAATTGATATTTTCATCACATATAGAGAATGCGAATTCTCAATGTATTTCTTTATACAGGGTGTCCCGAAATTACATAGGAAGACTTAAACTACAAATTCTAGGAACAAAAATAGTAAAAAAAGTTCATATAAACATGAGCCCAGAAATGGCACCCTGGGGAGTTATATACCGGGTGTCCAGTATACATGTCACAATGAATTATCTCAGCCATTTCGAAAAATAAAAATTTGAAAATTTCATGATCTCTAATTCGTTCAAGAAAAGCTTCAACTGAGAAAAAAAAATGCAAGCCATTCATTGTTCCTCTCATTTGAGTTAAACACCAGAAGTAGATGTTGAAAAATAGTATATTGTTTAACGAGCACGGAATGATAGTGATTTCCTACGAGAATGAAGTTTGCAGGAAATATAGGCGAATGCTGCAATCATTCGAGTAGGAAATTAAGTTATGTACACTACAGTACAGTACAAGTTATACACTATAATTTGTCTACGGCTATAATAGAATAGCGGCATTTTCGATTTCTTCGTCATGAAGCCATCTGATTTCCTGTCAAGTGATGCTCATCTATTAGGCAGACTGTCATTGCTTAAAATTTGACATTCTATGAGCGACGAGATGAAATAAAATTGATGACAAACAAAGTACCTCATTGATGTATCGAACACAGTAAGTAACAAGAGCAATTTTGTGTTATAGCCGTAGAAAAAGGGTATTTTCTATCGAAGAATATTTTCTGGGAAGATTACGAGAAAGCACTATTTTCGTTACGCAGCAGACTTTTTAAATTGATTTATCTCGATAATGGTGAGTGCTATCGAAACTGAACGCGAGTATCATTTTGAAGTAAAAAATATATTTTCACATTTCCTGGTCAAACTCCGAAAATTGCATAGAAAAAAAAGTTGGGGGAGGAAATGCCCCGGATGAAAATTTCGGAAAACTCTCAACATTTCCAAGTCGGGTATGACAAGATAGATAAATAGATCTTTATTCAATCAGGAACCCTAATATACATAATTAAATAACAAGGCATATTACACTATATATACACATATACAGAGATGAAAACTGAGTTGAACAATTGCAGAACAGAAATGTTAAAATGACTATCATGAAAGTAGAAAAATAAGATTAAAAAGAGTAGAATGACAATAAACGGCAATATAAACATAAAAAAGATAAAATTCTAAATAGACATATGGAATACACCATGAAGACTTTACTTAGCTACTTATTTAGGGCGAATTCACAGACTCTGACAATTTATTGAACTCCAAAAATCCTTTGAAAAATAGTGAATTCATGGTACTACGATAGGAAGTGCTAGAAACATAGATGTCATTTTTGCCACGCGTGTTATAATTATGAATATTTTTATTTAATTTTAGGTACTCCTGGAAGTATTCTGGTGCTAAATGATTTACTATTTTGTAAATGAGAGTCATAGTGAAATAGTACAGTCTGTTTTCCACTGAAAACCAACTGAGAGTCATTAACATTGATCTTATAGGGGTGAAGCGATTTGTTTCCAGTATTATTCTCATTCCACGGTTTTGGAGCTTCTGGAGCATATTCAATTAATTCAAATTAAACAGATATACTATGGATGAGCAATAATCAAGGGGGCTATTTCTGGGGTCATGTTTATGTGTATTTTTTTACTATTTCTGTTCCTAGAATCTGTAGTTGAAATCTTTCTATGTAATTTCGGGACACCCTGTATATACAGGGTGATTCAGATTCAAAGGCGTAAACTGAAATGGATGACAGATTCAATCATTTTTATCAAATAAGTTTATTTAAACATGAGTCCCATCTCGATCAGAAACTGAGCAAATTTTAATTATTTTTTTTCTATCGATTAATATATCTCACTCACTTTTGAAGATATCGTAGGAATTGAGGAATGAGGATGGTTGATACTTCCTAGAAGATCATAATTTCAAGCACTTTATAGATCTTTAAAATCTACATAGTGATACCTTTTTAGGGGTAGAGGCTTCCTTATCCCCCCCAAACTTTTTCGTAGAATGCCTCTGACATCTTCCAGTTGAGAAATTGAATATATCGTTCAATTTAGAGGCTTTTTTGCCTCTTAATTCATTTCGAGAAACCAACCGTTTTCGAAATAAATAAGCATATCCATTCTAAAAACATGTTAATTTTGCCTATACAGTGTCATTCAAAAAGTCGGCATCATATGGGAAAAACTTTTATTATTGACTTATTTTGAAATTCGAGTTGGACGTTGAGTTCTGCTTCAAGAATGATGAAAAATGGTCTACTCCATCGGGGTCACGCGATCGAGGGGTCACGTGACTTTCGCTACATGCCAAAAGTGACATTTTTCCAAATTAATCGCTGGAAGTAGGCTTATTTGTTCTAATATCGAAAAAGTTTACTTGAAAAAGTTGTTTCTATTTAAATTTTACATATGTGACTCGGATTTTATCTTTCTATTACATTTTTCAGATTTCGGTATTTTTTAAAAATTTTCGAGATATCTGTAATATTAAAAAAATCGTGAATTCGATAAAACTACTTCATACCAGTAGCTCCATCATGCTACTAACTCTCAATTACTTATTATCGACAAAAATATGATTTTCTTCAGAAAATGATAATGATAATCTCCGCTTCAAAATTCTGTTATGTTTGGTGCAAACATAACATCAACATTCTGTTATGTTTGAGTCAAGCATTTAGAAACGAAATTCATTTAAATTTATTTTTTCAGTACTGAAAAGATCAGTTTAAATGAATTTCGTTTCTAAATGCTTGACGATATATCAACTTTGCATCAAACATAACAGAATTTGGAAGCGGGTATTATCATTTTCTGAAGAAAATCATATTTCTGTCCATAATCAGTGATGATAATTAATTGAAAGTGAGAAGCATGAATAACCTACTGGTATGAAGTAGTTTCGTGGAATTAACAATTCTTCAAATAAGTATTACAGAAATTTCGAAAAATTAAAAAAAAAATCAAAATCTAAAAGTTACAATAGAAAAATCAAATTTGAGAGGCATGTGTAAAATTGAAATGGAAACAACTTTTTCAAGTAAACTTTTTCGATATTCGAACAAATAAGCCTACTTTCAGCGATTAATTTGAAAAAATGTCACTTTTGACATGTAGCGAAAGTCACGTGACCCCGATTGAGTAGGCTATTTTTGATCTCATTTGAAGCAAAACTCAACTTCCAACTCGAATTCCAAAATAAGTCATCAATAAAAGTTTTTCCCATATGATGCCGACTTTATGAATGACACTGTATATTGTTTCGCTCAAATTTTAATATTGGACGAAATTCGTAGAGGATACTATAAAATGGTAGCAATACCGGTCGAAGTTAATCGAAAGGCCCAGTCAGCACCTCCTTTCGTGAAGGGGGCTCACCCTCCACTGAGATCGCACTCCTCGCCGATCTTCCAACAGACCAAATCATCAGGAAGTTCAGTTTTGAGAAGAACTTCCGAGTGGAGCTGAGCAACAAGCGCGAATGGAGCATAGAATCCATCGAATCACTGGAAAGAAACACCATTACTTGGTATACGGACGGGTCTAAAACACCCGAGGGAACTGGAGCAGGAGTATTTGGGTGTCGCACCAAATGCTTCGAATCCATGGGACAATTCCCCCAGCATTTTTCAAGCGGAAATACACGCCATAGGAAGATGCATCTAGTTCAACCTAGTCAGGAAATACCGGAAGAAGGACATCGCGATTTTATCCGATAGCCAAGCAGCCATCAAAGCGTTGAGCTCTCCTTACATCAACTCGAAGATGGTATGGGAATGCCTAAGCAAATTGAATGAGCTAGGCAGCAACAATAAAGTGATCCTCCTCTGGGTGCCAGGGCATATTGGAGTGGAGGGAAATGAACAAGCAGACACTCTGGCACGACAAGGGGCTTCAACGCCACTGATCGGACCAGAGCCATTCTGCGGCCTTGGAAATTCCTATTTCCAAGGAGAACTTGAGAAGGCGGAAGGAGCCTGGAGAGCCAGACAATGCGGAAGACTTCCAGGACTACGGCAGGCTAAAGATCTCCTTGGAAATTTCAACCAAGAAAGATCTAAGACACTGACAAACCTCAGCAAAGGAAGCCTCAAAGCAATAACGGGATTTCTAACGGGGCATTGCAGACTCAAAGAACGCCTAAGGAAGCTAGGCTTACCGGAGGACGGCACCTGCAGATTCTGTGAGGAAGAACCAGGAACACCCCATCACATACTGATGGAGTGTGACGCTGTACATCACAAAAGATTGAACATACTGGGAACACACCAGCTGACTGTATAAGAAATACCACAGCTAGACCCCCTCAAAACCCTCAAATTCCTGAAGGAATTGAATCTCGAGGGGCTGCTATGAACAAGAAATCCTTGATATAGCAGAAGTAGATGGGGCACAATAGATCTAATTAGGTCGCAGCGCATCTGTCACCATCCAACCTACCAATACCAAAAATACCAATACCTCCTTTCGTTTTCGACCTCGAGATATGTCGATCAACTCTCTACCAAAACTCGATTGTCTATAGAGTGGCAAAGATTTCAAATTTGTGAGATGAAATAAGTGTAGATATGTACCTGCTTTCCTATACATTGCAGAGTCCAAAACTATATGTAGTTCCTGAAAATATACAGGAGATCTATGTCATGTCCGTTTAATCCACTTTGTTTCCATCTAACTGAATCCAACAAGTTTCCAACTGTGCATTTAATGAAGTACACTTCGAACACACGAATAATACGATTGCAGATGTTCACAGGACACCTACTTCTCATTTGATGTAGGAAATGTATAGAAAGACCATGTTGGAAGTTGTAACAACATTATAAAGTTGTGAGTATGACTCAGTGTACTTGGATTCAGGACATGAAAAAATGATTCAGAATAATTCGTTTTTTATTTTTCAACTTCACCACTCTGAATATCGAAAACAAAAAAATTTCGGACTGAAGTAGGTTTTCTTAAATCGGCTTATTTTGACCTCAGGAATATGTGCTAAGATTTTGTACAGTCCTTTTAGGGACACCCTGTATTTCCTCAAGTTGACAATATGTTCCTAGAGTTGAGAATATATTTTGTCAAATATATGGTCAATATTTTCTCAGTTTGCTCCTCAAAGATATGAAATATGTTCCTTCGAACTCATAGTAAATCAATTAATTCAAAACAACCAGTAGATTTGTTCTCATATAACTCAGGTTTCTCCACATTGCATTTTCTTTTTCAGGCCACTGTTGGAATGCAACGCAATGTCAAATTCCAACTTCGACATGTGACAGAGAATGCCTGGGATGCACCAAAATGAATTCACCGAGGCATTGCTCTGTTTGCAAAAATCTGGAAGATAATGGCACTTGTGTGGAAAAGTGCCCTCCTAATAAGTACGTATATTATTTTCAAATTTTTTATACACCAATTCTTTAGTACTTTAGTTGTCAAAAGTTGTCATAATACTTACATCTTGATCAAAGAAACGAGTGGAGGAAATTTCAAGGTCCTGGGTTTGTATCCTACTATCACTTACTTTCAATTTTTTGAAGTAATTCATGGAAAAAATACTGTGGAGGCGTTTGCTGTTGAGGCCGATAGTGATTCGCTATTCTAATATTGGTTTCATTCAGGATCGAACGTGCGCATTTGTGGTCAAGTCACTGAATAGCTAATCATTCGAAGGGTATCTCCCATGCAGTAATGAATGTGCGCCTTCGAAGGGCCCACCTGATGTAAGGTTCAAATATTTGATATTCTGAATAATCGGACGGATTCTAACAATTAATATCCAATATATCGACATATAGAGTTTGATGTCTGATTGTTGGATGTCTGTGATCAAAGAGCAAACAAACAACAGAGACAAAGCATTGGCATAGCAGAATAGAATGTGTTGAACTGAATGGAGACAAGACAGGTTGATACACCTCCGTCCTCCATATTAGAGGTCTGACCAATCAAAAAATGTACCACTATTGTCGTCACTCTAATAATTATAAAGTCACTTTAGTCTGATATATTTCTGTGTTTAGCGAATGATTATGTTCTGCTCCATGAGTCTATGTCACAGTCAATGTTCTATATTCATGTCATAAGTTCGGTGTGACTTTTGCCTCCTTCCTGTCAAATATGTCTAATCCGTGCGATAGAGTTTGACAAGAATGACATTAAGAATGTCAAATGTCATACTTATTCAATCTCTTACCTTTTGATTCAATGCTGCTACCATTTTCCAAGGAAATGTGGTACGAAAAAATTAGACCCAGGAACAACACTGCTTCAACTCTCTAATATTTAGTGCTGCCAACTTAGCCATTTTATGGCTAGTTCTAGCCATTGTTAAACTCATCTAGCTAATACTAAAAATTGCATCTATCCATTTAGCAATTTTTTCTAGCTATTTTTTATTCTGAATTTCTATAAAAAAAAATTTCGTCGACCTCTACAAAAAAACACATTTTAAATTCTAATTTCCGAACGAAAACCGACTATTTTCGAAGTCACGTACTTTTTGTCCGCAGACCTAACTTTTCGTTTGATGCAGGGTTGCCAGTTTCACTGAATTTTCAGTAGATATCCTGATTTTCATATAAATTTACTGACCTACTATTATTATAATTACCTATATTATTGAAGTACCCAAGTAACTGTATCTTGTGATATTTGTGAGTATTGTCGAATTGAGAATTAGGAATATGATCATTCTTGCATGAGAATATTTGTTTTTGTTTGTGTCTATTTTGTTGGAAATAGGTGACTTTTCTGTTTACTGAAAGAAGGTACTTACATACTTTTTTGGAATTCGTATAGCATAAAATAACTCTTGAACAGATCTATTGAAATCTACTGAATTTATGACGAGGTATTTACTGATGGAATGAAAAACGAACTGGCAACCCTGGTCCGCGCGGAGACTGAGTTGACAACAACTGTCATTTGCTGTTGTCAAATTGATTTTTCACGAAAGATTGTACTCTATACTCAGGGTCATTTTGACAAATTGGGTGCGATTTTCATTCTAAAATGTTATCATGCGCATGAATCGAACCCAAAAAATATTGACGTTGACATCAATGACGTCAACACATTACGTCATACTTCAACATCAATAATACTAGAGTCAGTAGACAAGGTAAAGTCTAGGTCTAGATCTAAGCTCTATACTTGAATTTTTAATGTCAGAATCACTTATTTGATCAAAACTGTCTAAAGAGAATCATTTTCTAATGAAATATCATGTTGAGAAGATGGTACAGAACTCAATTCCAGAAGTAGGCTTCTCAGTCTCAACCCGTTTTCGAATAACAACGGTTTATTATGAGTTTTGAAGATTTAGACATTCATCCTTTGATTTTGATAAGAAACATTCAATTATTTCACCGAACAAACATAAATTCACTTATTTACTCTTCGAACGGGAACATAACAGCTGGACCTCAACTTTTATTATCCTCCATTCACAATATCTATTGGCTTATCTTAGGCAGAAACTTGGCCCATGGTCAGATTTCTTGTTTTTGCTAAAAAAATTGCAAAAAATGGCTGAAAAAATTTCTGTCTGCGGCGCGATTTCATTTTTAACCATAATTAAGCCTTTTCCAACAATTCGCGAAAATCACGAACCAATAGATGGCTCTATTGAACGTCAAATCAACGTCAAATTTCCAACTGAGTATGAACAACAAAAACATTGCCGTATGCACTCATTGTAAATTGGTTATTTCCAAATCATTTTGCAAAATAGTGAATAATAAGTTGACTTCTTGAAATACGTACAAGGTTTCCAATATGGGAAAAATCACTTTTTGTGCAGAGAAATTGCCATTTTGATGTGGACAATGGTGGTTTTCATCATTGATATCAAACTACAATCCCACAGTTTTCAAACATATGGAATGATCGGAATGGTCTACTCAACACTTGCATGGACTGGAATCAGCTATTACAACAATATGGTATATGGTATAGGTATAAAGAAATATCACTGGCTTTTATGAAGGTGATGGAATTCTAGTGAAGGGGTTGGAAAAGAAGATATGGTTGGAGAGGCTGCTCAGAATGAACAATATCATCGATTTACATAAACAAGGATCTCCAACAATTGAGGACTTGAGGTTATTCTCAAGATCGAATCATTGCAACCAACATTTATACAATGATTCTAATAATTGTGCTTCAGAAAATGTATATTATATTATTATAAGGTATGTACTGGTTTCTTCATTGTTAACAATAAAAGTTCATGCTATAATTCGAGTTTTTCCATCAGGAAGAAATGAGGTTCTGGAATATGCACTTCAACAAATAAATTATTTTCCAATTAATCACATATTAATGAAATTCGAAACAATGGTCGCCATATTTGTTGTTCATACTCGCAAGACTTGTACAGCTAGCCACCAGAGGCCGCACACTTCGTGATTTTCGCGAATCATCTAGCCGTTTTCAAAATTGGCTGTTGGCAACACTGCTAATATTTCCAGGTACGTTCACGCGTATGTCAACAAATGCGTGACGAAAGAGGAATGCACCACTTTGATGCAGTCCAAAGGGCCCTGGTGGACACACGAAGACACATGTGTGTCCGAATGTCCCCAATTCTTCGAACAGGACACCCGCGTGACGTCTGACGGGGTCAACGAGACGTTCTGCAAGTTTTGCGGGGAAAACTGCGAAAAACACTGCTCCACCACCGATATAGAGAGCATCTACAAGCTGCAGGCGTTGAAAGGCTGCACGCACATCGACAGCAATCTGGTGATCAAGGTACATGGACGATTTTGGTCCAGTCAATAGGTGATGTAGAATGTAAATTGACGTATTTGTCATCTTAACAGAAGCTTCTAGCTAGGACAGTGAATCTTTCAAACATCGAGGTCAAGTGACGTCACCCACAACACATGATATTTCTTCCTTCTTTATATTGAGAAACTATACGCTACTACGAGTGAAGCGATAGCTTAGTGGTCTATGTATCTGAATTCCACGTTGGTGACTGGGGTTCAATCCCTGCAAAGGGGCAAATTTTTTTTAATACTTTTCTGGGGAGAGAGGTTCATTTAGGATAAGTTAGGTTGAAAGTACTTCACTTTTATGCAGAAGAGAAATTTTACTTCCTCATATTACCTTATAAACACGAATAACCTTGAGGTTTGAAAGATTCGCTATCATCTCAACAGGGTATGGACAGATCATAGCTCCTTTCTCTTTTAATCATCTAGTGATCTAGTGACTTTGGTTTTGTTTATTGGGGTCCCAAGTCAGAGACATTGTTGTCACGTCATATTCATAGGCGTCAAAAGAAATCTTACAAAATTTTAATTAGTACTTGATCTTAATAGGACATTATTCAATTCTGTTTCGAAAGGTTGTAATAACCAACAAATGCAAATGAACTCTTAGAACATGGGAAGTGAAGAGACCGAATTGGAAGAATCGTTAATACATCAGCAAAATATGCGAGGTAAAACTAATACGAAATCACATATATGTGATTATATTCTCATTGTGGCTAATTATCCACTCCACAAGTTTTTCAATGCATTTAAGTAGAAACAGTTTTGATTAAAAAATTATAACTACATTCAGAAAATATTAAGTGTTCGTGAAAAACTGCAAAAATGATATCCAACATGAATATTATATAAATATACAGCACACATGACATAATATGAACACATTAGTTAAAATACCTACATCAAAGTTTTCAACATTTCTCAACCATAAGGCTTAGTCTGAAATCAAAATTAATTTATTTATAGGTGCAGCTTAAGAACACTCCCATTTGGTAAAACATATAGAACTTGAAAATGTATGCTCACTTCCTCACAAAGATTATGCTAGAGTTGATAAATCAAAGACTGAAAATTTATTGATTATCATTTGGATATAATATGTAGATTTGAATCAGGAATTCCGTGTGGTAAATATGATACGGCTATGTCCTCAATATAACCTAAAAATCAACAAATGTCGTAAATCTAGTGTTTATCCCCAGAATTGAACAACTATGGAACTATATAACTGTTTCACAAACAGTTTAGAGTGAGAGGAGACAAGGATCTGTCCGTACCCTGTTAAGATGACAAATACGTCAGTTTCGCATCAAGGGACACTTATTAGGTGGTTTTTTGAAAATAAATTTTGGGGTGGTTATGAATTTTTGATATAGTTTTACGAATCTGACGAATCAAACATGTCACCTGAAATTTGAATTATATATCCCTAAAACATGAAAAAAATAGATTTTCGCTTTTAAATCGAAAACAATCAACTTTGTGTGAAAAACTATTTGGTACCCACTAAAATCGGAAGATTAATTTCTATAATAATTCAAGTATCTAAATATTTGAAGTGAAAACTTCGTTAGGCGCGTTCAACACTTTGTTTGAGTGAATAAAAACATTGGATTTCTCGACAACGTCACCTAACGCTTTCCATGAGCTATAGCGTTGCGATTGAACTTGAATATGAAAGTAAATTGTTTTGAAATGGTTCATTTGCTTGTGTGCTTATTTCGATTTTTTGTTAGTGATTTGAGCAAAGAAAAATCCACTTTCGACTGTTTATTTGTGTACTCTTGTGAATCTAGTGACTCTAGACAGCTTTTCAGCAGATATACATTCAATGAGGTGTAAACTACACGGCCACCACAGAACCAAAATAAAGTGAACTGAGTAAACCCGAAACAATATTCAACAAGAGACTACCTTTTCCAAACTGCCTAACCTACCTAACCTACCTAAGCTACCTAAGCTACCTAAGCTACCTAAGCTACCTAAGCTACCTAAGCTACCTAAGCTACCTAAGCTACCTAAGCTACCTAAGCTACCTAACCTACCTAACCTACCTAACCTACCTAACCTACCTAACCTACCTAACCTACCTAACCTACCTAACCTACCTAACCTACCTAACCTACCTAACCTACCTAACCTACCTAACCTACCTAACCTACCTAACCTACCTAACCTACCTAACCTACCTAACCTACCTAACCTACCTAACCTACCTAACCTACCTAACCTACCTAACCTACCTAACCTACCTAACCTACCTAACCTACCTAACCTACCTAACCTACCTAACCTACCTAACCTACCTAACCTACCTAACCTACCTAACCTACCTAACCTACCTAACCTACCTAACCTACCTAACCTACCTAACCTACCTAACCTACCTAACCTACCTAACCTACCTAACCTACCTAACCTACCTAACCTACCTAACCTACCTAACCTACCTAACCTACCTAACCTACCTAACCTACCTAACCTACCTAACCTACCTAACCTACCTAACCTACCTAACCTACCTAACCTACCTAACCTACCTAACCTACCTAACCTACCTAACCTACCTAACCTACCTAACCTACCTAACCTACCTAACCTACCTAACCTACCTAACCTACCTAACCTACCTAACCTACCTAACCTACCTAACCTACCTAACCTACCTAACCTACCTAACCTACCTAACCTACCTAACCTACCTAACCTACCTAACCTACCTAACCTACCTAACCTACCTAACCTACCTAACCTACCTAACCTACCTAACCTACCTAACCTACCTAACCTACCTAACCTACCTAACCTACCTAACCTACCTAACCTACCTAACCTACCTAACCTACCTAACCTACCTAACCTACCTAACCTACCTAACCTACCTAACCTACCTAACCTACCTAACCTACCTAACCTACCTAACCTACCTAACCTACCTAACCTACCTAACCTACCTAACCTACCTAACCTACCTAACCTACCTAACCTACCTAACCTACCTAACCTACCTAACCTACCTAACCTACCTAACCTACCTAACCTACCTAACCTACCTAACCTACCTAACCTACCTAACCTACCTAACCTACCTAACCTACCTAACCTACCTAACCTACCTAACCTACCTAACCTACCTAACCTACCTAACCTACCTAACCTACCTAACCTACCTAACCTACCTAACCTACCTAACCTACCTAACCTACCTAACCTACCTAACCTACCTAACCTACCTAACCTACCTAACCTACCTAACCTACCCGACCTACCTAATCGAATCGAAAATTGGGCGAATCGAGAATTGGGTCAAACAAGACGTTCTCGATTCGAGTGTCATTCCTGTGAAAATCGCATCAGAACAGTGAATTCGGGCGAATTATAACAGAGGTTATGTCTTTATTGACTAGTGGTTCATGTGCCTTTTCCTTCCTTAATAAGTAAACTCCATCCTCGGGAGGAAATGTAGCACTTTCCTTCCTTGTTATACACATAGCTATTTTGCACTTGCTCTTGCAGGATATCTTATACAAAATGGAATCAGATGCCGGTGGATCAGAGTTGTCACAGCTTGAAGTCTACCGTTTGTTGTTTTCAAACTCCAATCGTCAAGTCTCATTTCATTCCCAAGCCATTGTTGTATTTTTTAAACTCTTGGAGCGCACGAAAGGAAATTCCTCTCATGGTGGAAGAACATCGTGCGTTCCTAGGAAGGATAGGGAAAGGAGGTAGGCGTTGGATTTTTTTTGAACTTTTGGAGGTTATAAGGTCTTGGGAATACTACAATTGGCAAAGAATTCCAAAGCTTCGCCGTTCTATAGAAGAACGAGCTGTGGTAAAGTGTTGTTCGACATATTTCAAGGTTGACAACGAAGAGATTTGCTGACACTGGGCTTGTCGATAGAATACCGGGTGTCAACGAATCTATTAGGCAAGCTATAGCTTCTAGAATAATCGGTGTATCAAAAACTAATTCAATATACTGTATATGGTATGTGAAGAGGAAAGTTTTCTCAAGTTTTTCACTTCCCGGTCACTTCGGGTTCCACCGGAAATGGCTCCGGTTTTTAATGTTTAAATGGAACTCCCTATATATTATAACATTTTTGAATTCCTGAGACAATTGAGGATCAGAATATGACATTTTTAGAAATTTTTACGCCTACTTGATTTTTTTAGAGTCACTTTTAAATTTATCTATGGACCTCAGGTGATGTCAGAAAATTATAATCGTTTGATTCGTGATCAGCATCCCTAAAATCACACTTTACCAGAAATGGCAGAAATTCATAACTACTTCAAATTTTGTCATTAAAGGCGGCCGTTCAGCACCTGCTGACTACACAGAAGTAATAAAGTTCAGCAATATTTTTAACACCCTTTTATCTTTACCTTGTCTATGAATACGTTTTCGGTCACTTCGAGCCTCGCTTTAAGCTAACTGAATGAAAAGGTACAAATTACAATTTATTCTTGTATTTGTTTATTGGTCCATCATATGTATATATATATATATTATCAACTTTAAAAGATATTTTTGAAAATGACACGATTTTATTCCTGAGTTTCCAGTACAAGAATTTTTTGTAAGCGATTTCGTATCTTTCACGGGTGGGAACTCATTTGTTGCCATTTTTGGTCTTTCCAGAATTTCTAGTAGTGTACACATAATCTTGGAATAAACTGGAATTGAGAAATATCAACAGCAAATATTAAATATTACTTGCCTGCTCTCGGTTAAATTTGATAGCTTGATTTATTGATGGAATGGTAGATTAGCTACTGACATTAACTGAAAAACAAAGTCATCTATCACTAAAATACCTATGAAAACAGTGCGATCGCTCGCTTTAACGCACACGTGCGTAAGGATGAGCTTAATGATATTGTTATATGTACAATATTCATCACTTACAGTAGTACTTGTAGGAAAAGTGACTTTCCTGCACTTGTTGGGTAAACTACTGTAGTATGATGATAAGAAAGAAAAACGAAACATAAAAGGAGCTGTCTCAAGAAAAAATATTGCTGAACTTCATTGCCAAAGTACCTATCGGCCTAAATGTTCACTGAATTCGACAATGAATCTATTGATCTATCCAAGGTGAAGAACGTGGATCCTAGCGTGAGGTTGTCCTCGGCCCTCGAGGAGAACTTGGGCTCCGTGAAGTACATCTACGGTTACCTGGTGGTAGGCAGGATGAACGCCATGAGGTCGTTGAGCTTCCTGAATAACCTCACGTACATAGGCGGGGTGGACAAGAACGTCTCCCGAGACGTCTCCTACGCCATTTTCGTGTACGAAAATCAGAATTTGCAGCACCTGTGGCGGTTCGATGACGGCTTCAACCTGACCATCGGCAGGGGTGAGTGGAAACGAGAACACCCGGTAACTGAGTTGAAAATAAACTCTGTACAATACGGGGGAAATATTCTTCATTCCTTCCTTCCTTCATTGGTTTCCTTCCTTCTTTGGTTTCCATACTTCATTGGGTTCCATCCTTGCCTGGTTTTCTTTCTTCTTTGACTCCCGTCCATCATTGATTTCCTTAGTTCTTTGGACTCCTTCCTCCTTTGGTTTCCATACTTCTCTGGGTTTCATCCTTCTCTGGTCTCCTTACTTCTTTGACATCCTTTCATCTCTGATTTCCATACTTCTTTGGGTCCATACTTCTCTGGTTACCTTACTTTTCCTTACACCTTTGGATTCCCTCTTTCTTTGGATTACTTCCTTCTTTGGTTTCCACGCATCTTTTTTCTTTTTCCATACTCCCGAGAGGTCTCCTATACCATTTTCGTGTACGAGAACCAGAATTTGCAGCACCTGTGGCGGTTCGATGACGAGTTCAACTTGACCATCGGCAGCGGTGAGTGGAAACGGAAATACCCGATAGCTCAGTTGGAAAAAAACTTTGGACAATACGGGGGAAATCTTCTTTGGATTCCTTCCTATCTTGGATGACTTCCTTCTAGGGTTTGCAATCCCGAACCAAAATTTCATTCCCGCCATTTCGGGGTTTTGTTTACCTGTCTAAATGGTTAAAATTGATTCAAGGTACATTACTAAATGATTAAAGTTGCCATCTACATATTCTTCATTCAACGAACGAATAAAGATTCCGTAGTCCGTCAGAAACAAATACTGTGATAACAAACACAAAATCTTTGGAGATACATAAACAAAAATAAAATGTAAACGTTTACATACCGAAAATTACGCGACTACCGTCTTGCCTCGCCTCAGCCTGGTTCGTGTCAATCCGTTTGACTATTAAGGCCAATCCCGAAAACACGACATCGGAGCGTGCAAATCCTGGGATTATCGGGATCCTAGGATTACTTTTGTCGGGATTTCGGGATTGCAAACCCTAGTGCCATCCTTCTTTGATTTCCATACTTCTTTGACTTCCGTCCATCTTTGATTTCTCTACTACTTCGGATTGCTTTCACCTTTGAATTATATCTTTGGAGTCCTTCCTTCTTTGGTTTCCATACTTCTTTGGGTTTCTCCCTTCTTTGGTTTCCACACTTCTTCCACTATCCTTTTTTAGTTTCCTTACTTCTTTGAGTTTCTTCCATCTTCGATTTCCTTACTTCTTTGGATCTTTGGATTCCTTTCTTCTTTGGTTTCCCTACGCAGTGACTCGAGAGAGATGCGAGAACCCCTCTATCAGCCACCGTCGATGGTACGGTGACCGTGACGTGAGTTTGCCGTTTCACTCCCATTCCAGAAACTGCCTAACGGGCCTATGGTCTATGGAAGTTATCACTCCAAAAGTACATCCTGAAATACTAATAGTAGGAGAGTCGGCTGCAAATGTCGACCGTCATCTGATAACTAAATGACATGAATATTGCGATGGTGTGTAGAAACATTGTATTTCATCGAACTGCACCTGTGCCAATCACTATCCGTAGCAAAATTATGGAGAATAGCACTTTCCTGTGCGCTAATTTGCACAAAATTTCGCAATTTGATATCGAGATACCAAGTATATGCGATCCGATATCAATTGAACTGTGGATCAAAACACTACCTGTGCCATCCGTCAATCTGAGTGAAATCCTCGGCACATCTATGTTTTTGATGCCGATATTCCGTACATATTTCTGTCACGTGACAACTAGTTGAAACAAAACGCAAATAACATTCCGCGATTCGAACTAATTTAAGTTACTGGCAAAGCATCAATATTTACGAGAATATTTCGCCCTTGCTGCAAGATAATATCCGATGGACCTACGTTCGATGTTCTCGTTCATCGAATATTTTCTTTTATACATCGATAGCTTGTTGCATAATTACAAAGAGTGTCAGTTTGACAGTTGAAATAATCCGACCGCGAAGCCGTATGTTGCAGAGTATTGAAGTTCTTTGGAAAACTCAATGAAGTGCTATCGATTAACAGCTGGACCAACTCAAAATCAAGTAGTCTCAAAAAGCCAACTTTGCGAGAACATGATCCGATTCCAAGAAGACGAGAAAGTAAAAGCGTGCATTTGCCGAGGCATTAGCACTTATCTGATTCCCTTGTTCATAATTAGTTCAAAGTAAGTTCGTGAAGTTAGGAAGTTTTCAGATTTCTCCAAACTACCTAGGGCATTAATTCGTTGAGAAATTAGAACTGAATTTTTGCGCCTTTCTTTTGCGAATAATGTAATAGGACTGAAAAGGAATACCCTTTCTTTCAGAGAAAAATACTGCTTTATCCATATTCAAACGGGAAATCGTTTGATTATACAAATTGAGGTCTTTTATACCTTTGAGTTACTTGAAATTTATCTATTTTAGTTTGATTTTCTCTAAATTGGAGTATCTGATATCGATGTGGGGTATTTTGAAACATCTGAAATCTCTTCTTCACTATAACATTTTTTCATTAAATGAGTTCAGAGTACGATTTCGGATGGGAAGTGGTGTAGTTCATAGTTTCAAGTCATCTGTGAAAGAGAGAAAAACTATAGGATATTAAAAAACTTCCCCAGCACATATATGCATTAGAAACCTTATTTTTGAGACAGAACGATTCCCTCTTTTCTTATGATATTGTCACGAATGTGACTAGTTGAGATTTGCTGAAGGTTGATATTCAATAAAAGGGCTACAGATTGAACAACAAAAACAAATATGAATTTATTAATGATGAAATACAATTTTGACATTCATTGAATAGGCATTAGGTTGACGACAGAATGAATAATAAAAATGGTACTTACAATAATCTAACAAAACTCGGGAATGTCCCAATTGGTACGTCCCCGTTGCCACAAGCAACCGTCCGCTATTCGGACCAAAAGTCAAGTCCACCTTGGTACGTGGATTAGGATCGATCACCTCAAATGTTTATTTTGTTGAAAAATGTTTTGTCACGAACGAGGACAGTTGAATTGTCGAGAAATATAACAAACTCGATAAATTAGAACAGTGAAATAATGGTAATAGTAATAGTAATATTTGAGAATAATTTGGAAAATATCATTTCGTGACAATATCATTATCGAAGGAAGCAGCGGGAAATGAAATAATTTGTTTCTAAAGTGAGCGGTACGCCCACCTTTCTTTCGGCTAGCTCCCTGATTTAAAAAATTCAAGCCTCATAGCTAATTTTTCTTTATTCGGAAGTGCTCGCAAAGGGTTGGACCTAAAATCAAGTGGCGGAACTGCAAGCACTGAGGAGGGACAAATATCGATGGATCCTTCCTCGGATCCTTCTCTTCCCACGTAGCAGAGTGACCAAAGAAGACGTCATATTGAAGTGGATTTTACGTCATATTTGGCCCACGACGTCTTTTCACCAAAACATGACCTACAAATGACGTCTTATTTCATGGCGTCTCATTGACGTATAATCCGGGAGGTCCTAATACCGCCTATACAAAGTCCCACATTCTTTTGTTCGACCTTTAAAGAAAAATGAATCTTATACGTTTCTCTACAACGTGTAGCTTATGAATTCGCCAACTTCTGTTACATTACTATCAAACTGCAATTAGTTCGCTTACACCTAACACCTCGCCGGCGCTCGCCACATAATTGATGATTTGGCGCTATTGAACATCAGGACTGCCCAAGAGCACCAACCCAACGTAGAGAGCTTACCCAAAGTAGATATCAAACCCAACGTAGGGAGCTAACCCAACGTAGGAATCAAACCCAACGTAGAGAGCTAACCCAACGTAGATATCTACGGTGTCCCGTGCCCTTATGAAAGCGCTACTAAAAGAAAATATCAATAAAATTGATGAGGCAAACAGCCAGCACGTGTTTAAATATAGTAGTTGGCTGAAAATACATCTGTGGACAAATAATTTCATGATTGAATACGATTTCCTATCCAGGCACCTTACGGTTCCACAACAACCCACAACTTTGCCCTGTCGAAATCGCTGCCTTGGCTAACGCCACCAACACCTACTTTTCCCCGCTGGACGTGTCCCCCTACTCCAATGGCAACAGGGCCGATTGCGCCACCGAGAAGATGACCTTCAACGTCACCGAGTCCTCCAAGAACGCCACTCTGTCATGGGACCAACTGCCGTTGCCTGTCAACGACACCTACATAGGCTACACGGTGTACTACAAGGAGCAGTTCTACGGCGACGCTTCAGCGAGCGACAGCGACAACGTGTGCGCTGAAAGCGTCGAGACACAGTGGCGCAGTTCGTTCACCAGGAACAACAGCATTTTTCTGGATAACCTCGAGCCGTACACTCGGTGCGTCCGACTTTTTTCTCGAAATTTCGATATTAGTCTCGAGATTTCATTGGGACATCAAATTGTCAAAACCGTATTTCATTGCGACAGTAATTAATCGGAACCGTATTCCATCGAAACCGTAATTTATCAGAACCGTACTTATAAAGTACTGTATTCCATCGGGACAGTAATTCATAAGAATCGTATTCCATAGCGACAATAATTCATCAGAAAGATATTCCATTGGAACCGTACGATTCCGATAGAATACAATCCAGACGAGATACAGTTCTGATGACTTACAGTTCTGTTAGAATACGATTATGATGTTTAACAGTCCTGACAGAATACACTTTTGACAAAATACAATTCGGAAGAATTACAGTTCTGATTATTTACCATCATGATTTATGGTTATGATATATTCCCATTCCGACAAAATACGATTCTGACCGATTATTCTCGCAATAAAATACGGTTCTAATGAATTGCCTTTGTGATAAACGTTCAAACAAATAAGCCTATATTCAGCGATTGATTTGCAAAATAAATGAATTTTGACATGTAGCGAGTCATGCGGACCGAGTCGAATTCCGATATAAATGCTAATTAAGTTAAAAATAGTTAAGTTATTGATGATCAAAATTTATCAAAATACCACATTATGAACCTTCAATTCGTATCATCTAATGTAAGTTGACTATAGTGGGCTTTGAAATAACGATTATATATTCTTCAAGCTCCTTGGAAATAGCATAGTATTATTTATTATGAAATTGAAATCGTTTAATCTCAATGCAAGAAAATATGAATAGACAGTTTGAATGGAAGATTCGGTACTTGATGAAAGTCCAAATCAGAGATAAAAGTTGAAAGTTAAAATTTTGAGATAAAAATCAAAATTTTCACCGAAACAGTCGGCATTTCCATTAAACAAAATAAAAAACCCCTTGGCACTTCTACTCATCTGCAGGTACGCGTACTACATCAAGATCTACCGCTCGTCCAAGGTCACCACGCAGAGCACCATCATGTACCTGTGGACGCTACCGGACGATCCCGAGGCGCCGGAGGATGTTACGGTGACGGCACTGGATCACGCTACCATCCGCCTGGATTGGAGTCCTCCGGGTCGGACGAACGGCGTCCTGGCGCACTACAAGGTGGACTTCAACGCTCTGCCAGATGCGCCGGTGGACAGGAACTACTGCACGGAGCGAACGACGTGAGTGTTGCCTAGAGTCACTGAATGGTATTTATTTATTTATCCAACACATGACAATTATAACGGGAAAATAACAATTTGCTATACAGTGGTCAGTATGGATTCCGTAGATCGAAAGACACTGAAGCAGGTACTTGTAGCTCCTTAATGAACATTTCATGCAGTGTATCGCAAGGGTCAGTCTTGGGACCAGTTTTATTTTTAATCTACATAAATTCAATATCAAACTTAAACTGTTTGCAGATGACACGACATTGATTTATTTCTCCAAAGATTCAAATAATATTATCATGGACATGAAAATATCCTCTTGGTAACAAGTTCATAAACTATCTCTCAATTATAACAAATCTTCACATATGTACATAGCAAAAAGAACACTGAAAATTTTGAATTGAACACTATCCTTCAACAATGAACTCATCAAATATACAGATGTTACAAAATTTCTAGGTCTTTATATTGATAAACGACTATTGTGGAATAAAGATATAGATCATTTTGAGAAACAAACTTAATCCCATTCCAGGCATTTTATTCAAAATACGAAATTTTATTTTTACTAGATACTTGAAGAGTATTCATTTCTCCCTCTGACAAGAGAATGGTGGGAATTCTGAAGAGAATGTTTTCAATTATTCAATTTTCCAAAGAGAATATCAACCATTCTCTTACGTCCTGGATGAAAAATCAATTTGAAGAAAATCAAAATTTGTGATGAAATAACATTAAAATTCACTTCTAACAGCAGATTTTAATGAAACTATATTTTAGGCCCATTTTCAAACAGAATATTCAGAAATCCGTTTCCGACTCCATTATAATCATTACAGGAAATGTAAAACATAGAGAAAGAGGAATTGATTGCAAAACCATATTCTATTATTCAAAATGATTGAATCATTAGATTGATTAGAAATCAACAAACTCAAAGATGTTGACATTTTAGACCTCAATAGTTCACCACTGTTGAATTTGTTTTCTCAGTAGGTAATGATATTAATTTGCTATCAACCCTTTCAACTTAATCCGGTATACCGTATTTTAATGTAGATATTGTGCCTAATTTCCGAAAATGAAGGTTTATCGAACCTATCCACAGGTAACTAATACTTCTAGTTGGGAAAGTAGGATATATAAAAGTTGAGCAAGCCAACGTTGGTTTAGTTCTTTCTACCAGTATATCACCTGATGAAGTTTTCACATTTGCCATGGATTTCCATCAAGTAACGGCCGAGTCGATTAAAAGAATTTAAAATTAAAAAAAACAAAGTTGAAACAGAGAATCAACTGAGCTCAAACTATTAAACATCAGAAATGTATGGATTGTATTCCTTTTGGATTGATTGGTTATATTTTAAAACCTGTACCCTGTACTGAACCAATACAAATAAACAACTCGATCAAGATGTTTTCAAGTTGCGGCTTCTCGAGAGGTTTTCTAAAGCTTCACAACTTCTCGTATAGGACCCCTTATAAAGTTTGTTTAGTTTGCACTGAGATCTAGTCGCCTGTATTTAATCGAATAAGTTGGAGTCCTCTTCACCTTGAACATTTCGCTAGGCTCTTTACTTTGACACTCTATATGCTGTTTATAAAAGACATCAGATGTTTGGAGTCGTTGGAATTCTTTGGATTTCCACCCCTGATATCTCTCAGGCAATACTGAAATTGAGAAGAACTGGACTTTCAATGAATCTATTACACCATATCCTGAATCTTTCCTGTGAATGGACTTCACGTAGAATAAACCGTCTAAGAGTTACACAGTTTTTTTCGTTTTCCCCAAAATTCTAGATTTTGTAATTATTCCCTTCTTCTCTGTGCTGAAAGACTTCGGTCAATGGCCTTTTGGGGTATATCCCTAATAAAGATGTTCTTTCTCTCTCTCTCTCTCCCTTCTTCTCCTGAGCGATTCAATTGGGTATTGGACGTGTTTGGTACACATCGCAATTTAAAAGTCACTGAAAGTACGGTTAACAGCATTCAAACTTACTCAGCACCTCATCTTATGATAAGATGATAATCTTATGGCTACTACTTCAAATTGAAAGTTTCAGCTTCAATCTCAACTTACAAACTTTGAAAAAGAGAAACAAAGTGGCAACAGTTAAATAACCGTGCTCAAACTATTAAACATCTGAAAAGTTTGGATTGTTTTATCTTCTAAGGTCTGTTATCTGTTGAATTCGCACTGAACAAGTACAGTCGTATTAAAAAAAGCGTACAAGTATATTTGAGAGAGAAATTAACCTCATCCTACTTGCGTAAAACGGGCTATCGGGAATGAATGTTTATAAAATATTGACAATAGAGTAATCATAGGTTCTCAAAAACACAAAGCATTGGCCGAGCCAGTTTCACACAACTAGAACTAGGATGCCGAAATCTTCTATGTTTAATACTTGTACGCTTTTTTATTGAATACGGCTTTACAAATGAACAAATCCATCAAGATGTTTTCAAGTTGTTGCTTCTTGCGAGAAAGTGTCCTAAAACTTCACAATTTCTCGTAGGAGATCCACTTTGAAGTTCGCCCAGTTTGCACTGAGCTCTAGTCGTCAGCAATTAACCGAAGAAGTTTGACTTTTTTTCACCTCAAACTATTCTTCAGATGTTGTTCTTTTGACAGTGTTGATCTTCTAGAACTGGTAATTTTGGGTTCCATGGTGTGAATTCCATTTGGAGCCTACTGTACACAATGTTAAAAGACAAGAGAAATCTTCGGAGTCGTTGGGAGTAATTGAGTTTTGGACGTTTTCAAGGACTATGCTGAAAGTGATCAGAAGGCATTGAAGTCAGGGATTCTTTATAGATGTGTTCGAGTTCTCAGAGACGATTGGACGATTGTCCAGTGAACGTGTTTGGAAGATGAAGTAATTATTTAGGAGTCGATGGAAGTAGAATTTACCTGTACTGTACAAATATTTCCCGGATATTTGCTTCAATTGATGAGCATTCTCCTCACTTCCTCCGTAATTCCAGAAATACTCCAGAGACTGTTCGTTAGGATATTGATCCGTCTGTATACCAGTTGTCTCAGATCTTATCATACAGCCAGTTATGCTGCTTGTGAAAAATAACACTTGTCAAACCCAAATGACTTTGAAGCCATTGTGTCAAAGTCAACTACTGTCAAACTACACTTGAGAAGTCACCCTCAACTCCAATTATTCAAGTTACATGAATTTTTTCATTGATTTGTGAAGTGCAATCAATTCTGTCAATTTGACTGATGTCCAATAATTGACAGAATACGCATTTGGAGGAAACGTAAAAGGCATTGTCTAGAGTCCCTTGATGGAAATTGACGTTAAAGTCATCTCAACAGGGTACGGACAAATCCTCGTCTCCTCTCACTCTATAGTGTTTTTGAAACAGTTATATAGTTCCATCTTTATTCAATTCTAGAGATAAACACTAGATTTTCGACATTTGTTGTTTTTTAGGTTATATTGAGGTCATTGGCGTATCATAAGTAATTTCCATATGGAATTCCTGATTCGCGACGAATGAATATCAGAAAAAATATATACAAAGCGACCTACAAAACCAGAGGCAGATAAAATATCTTGAACCAGATGGGATATTATAATTTATCACAGGATGACCAGAAGAATCAGAGCCAGATCAAAATATTATTGATGGAAATTGAAAAAATACCCAGTGCGTTTGAGCGAGCTGAATTCCAGAGGCAGATCAAATCTTGTACCAAATGGAATATTATAATGTATTACAGGGTGAGCAGAAAAACCAGCGGCAGATTGAAATCTCATCGATGAATATTAAAAAAATGCACAGTGTGTTTGAGGCGAATGGATATTAGGAAAAAAACATATACAGAGAGACCTACAAAACCAACCCAGAACGCAATTTGCAGTCCAACATTGAAATCCCATTCCCAAATTTATTTCTCTGTGAAGTAAATCCATGCGTTTTAAAAATCGAATCAGCAACATCAAACCATAATATGCAGGATCATGTGATTCTTGCTCTTTCTTGGAATGTCCAGTTGATGTGTCTTCTGAGGAGATGATGCCATGAGGCATGATATTGTTTGGAAATGTTGAACTTTCACGATGTTTTTTCAAACATCAAATTTGACGATCAGAATTCGCACAATTCTTCAAGTCTATCGAACTTCTTCATAAAAATAGTATTCGAAACATCATTTGGTATGATTCTTGATGAAATCTCTGAAAGAATGCTCCTGTAGTCGGCTTCGTGGAATTGGTCCTTATAATTTTTTCAATCCTATCCTTATAAGTTTTTTTAATGTACTCTGTCAGCATTTCCTTCATATCCGAAAATTTCATCGAATCACTGACATGGATGTTGAAATATCCTAAAATTTGTATGATCTCGCCTTCGCCCAACTGCTCCATATCACGTCGGGGTCACCAAATTGTGGATACAATTAATACAAATTCTAAGACTTTGGGTTGTAATTATATTATAAAAATGTAACATTAATGTCATACTATCAAATCATAATATTCCACGGATATAACATAACTGATCACCATAAGTATACTCTGTTCAGTTCACTTTGTGAATCTTCTGTTCGGTTCGTATGGACTGGATGGTTTTCTCCGATTGAGTGGCAAGTATCAAATACTACTGCTTCTCTGATCTGCAACAGAACATCACATATCAATCGAAGTACATTCATATCAGAAAATAATTATCATTAGATGAATTACATGGATGTTGAATCTGAGACATACCTGAATAATATATTCAACGTCCGTAACTGGATTGCTACATATCCGCTTTCTTTCCGAATAGTGTTTTCTCCATTAGGCATTTTCAATTACGCACGTGGGTTATAATGAGGACCTTGAAGGCCAAACGATGTGCTGCTCGGATCTAAAACTAAGGATCAATTTCAAATTTGAATCGTGAGATCTACATAGAATATTAGATATTGTTTTCAACATTCGTAACTGGAACGCGATATATTTTTGTAATTCATCAATTCATCAACTATCTCAATGAAG